AGAGCTGCTGCGTGCAGCTGGTTTCGGCTCCTCCGCCGGGCCCATGCCTCGACACACATGGTCGGGGCTCAAAAGACGGGGGTCGATGCAGGCGGGGGTCGGTCAGAGCGCCAGATCTTGCAGGATCCTGCAGGGCCAGGGGTGCATCGACCCGGGTCAGGGTGTAGGCTCCTGCAGGATCCTGCCGGACAGTCAGAGCGCAGGATCTCACAGGGTCCTGCAGAGCCAGAGGAGCCTTGACCCAGGCCTGTGTGCAGGATCCTGCCAGGCCGGACTGATCCGGGCCTGGATTGACCCGGATCAGTAGATCCCCGAATCGGCGCCTCCTGGCGCCTGGAGGCGCCAGGAAAACCAGCTGCGTGAGCCGATGTTCTACCCTGCCCTTTGCTATGCTACCCTCCCGTGCCCCCCGAAGCCCACGCCTGGGATCTGTCCATGCCCCTTAGCTCCCAGAACTCCAGCGCATTGGAAACACAGACACAGAGTTTTTTGTCGTTTTCGGCATTTGGGGGCCATCGCTGGCCCTTGGACGGACGAAGAGCCGGTCCTCAGGAGAGTGGTCCAGAGCACCAGCGGTCCCCACATTGAAAAAACAAATCCCGAGACGTACACAGCCCCTTCTCCGCGCGAGGCGATTATCTATATGAACGCGCTGCACAACAAAAAAGAGCACTGCGAGATATGCACGATCTGCGGGGCCCTGCACTCTGCTGTGCCTCCCAGGAGCCCACGAAAGCAGCGACGGTTGCGCAGTTCGCAGCCGCAGCGAGTTCTCAAATGGATCCCCGCTGCCCTCGCCTCAGCCGTGCCTCCCAGGAGCCCACCACGAAAGTGGCGACGGTTGCGCAGTTCGCAGCCCCCGCGGGAGCCGCGAGGTCTCCAAGGGGATCCCCGCTGGGATGTCCAGCGCTCCACCTGCGAGATCCTTGGGGTACGTCTCCAGATCGGTCGACATGGACGAAGCCCCAGCAGGGCGCGTGGAATGGGGAGACTGGGAGAGGAGAGGTTGCGAAATCTGCTGCGTGCAGCTGGTTCTGGCCCCGCCGCGGCTATCTGCCCTCCCTACGTGGGACCCCTGGCGCCAGGAGGAGTCGGGAAAACCGGGTGCACGCTTCGCTAAACTCCCCTTTGCTCGGGAAACAGTGAATTAGGTAGTCAAACACAGAAGCTCGCAGGTCCGCACGGATTCCTGGGACCGGTGCAGGGGCCCTGGCGCCTCCGGCGCCGCCCCTGGCGCGCTCCGCGCGCCAGGGAGGGGGCTCCAGCGCCGATCCGAGAAACCCGCGCGGACCTCCCGGTCTGCATGCTCCTGCCGGTGGTTGCTCCCCTGCCTGCGGCCCTCCCCCCCGAGGCAAGCGCTCCTTCCACCTGCAGAAGAAGCGCTGCGCGGCGTGCGGGTACCCCGCCGCTAAGATCCGCTCCTACGAGTGGTCCAAGAAGTCCAAGCGCCGCCGTGCCCCGGGCACCGGCAGGAGCGGGCCGCTCGCGCGGGAGTGGCCCCCCTCGCTGGAGTGGGCCCCGGTGCGGGTGCGGGCCCGCATGGCGCCCCCCCTCCTCCTTCCTCCTCCTTCCTCCTCCTCCTCCTCCTCCTCCTGCTCCTGCTCCTCCTCCTCCCCTCCTCCTCCCTCCTCCTCCTCCTCCTCCTCCTCCTCCTCCTCCTCCTCCCCTGGCGACGCGCGCGCGGGGGTGGCGCGAGGGGGGGCTGGCTGCCACGAGGGCGGGGGCCCTGCCAGAAGCGCATGGGGGGGGTGCAGGACGGCTCCCGAGCAGCGGAGAGGGCCTCCAGGGAGGCCCCCCACCGTCTCTCGGGCGCAGATCATCGGGGGCCTGGCATACCCTCCGAATTCCGTCTCTCGCGTCGATGAGCGTCGAATCTAGCGCCTGGGAGCCGATGAGATCGCGCCGATTTAGCGTCGGCTAGCGTCGATTAGCGTCGATCTAGCGTCGACGAGCGTCGATTCGCAAGAGCCGACAAGATGGCATGGGAGGCTCCCATGAGTTGCCACCGAGCCGTCTCAGAAGCCCCCCGCCTCCCTCGAAGGCCCGACGCGCCGCCCCCGTGGGCGGATCCAAGAAATCCCGAGCGGAGCGCCAGAAGTTCATGCTTATGTCGGAGGTTGATAGACCTCCTTCCCTGACACGTCGATTAGCGAATTGGCCGTTTTCGGTTTGCGAGAGGGCGTCGCGGCCGTCATTTTTGCGGGTCCAGGTCCGTCGGTTTCGGTCCTTGGCCGTTTTCACTAAAGGGTGGTTCACTAAAGGGAGGTTTGTCCACCGCCGATTCTGGGTGTTTCTTCTTCTCCTGAAGATGGCGGGTGCCTTGCCAGCAGCGCCTGGCAGGGGGGTGCAGGGAGGGAGCTCCCGAGCAGCTGGGAGGGCCCCCGAAGAAGGCCCCCCCTGCCGTCTGAGAAAGCCCCGCGCGCCTCCTTGGACGGCCCGTCGCGCCGCCCCCCCTGTGCGCGCCCGCCGCCGCACCGACCTGCGCGCCTGGATTTATCTGGATTTAAAGTCGGGCATGTCCCGTCTGCAGGAGGAGTACTCGAAGATGGTCAGAAAATAGCCCAGGGATGTTTGTTCACCTGCGCGCCTGGATTTATCTGGACTTCAAGTCGGGCGTGTCCCCTCTGCAGGAGGAGTACTCGAAGATGATTCAGAAGATTATTTTCTGAATCGTTTGTTCTTCTTTTGGGGGGGAGGGAATCTGTATGTGTGCTACAAAATCCGCCTGTAGGAGGACATGCCCGACCTAAGCGTGGACCCCCGGAGCTGCGCACTAAAAGGTCATCTCTTGCCCAGGGCCGCTCTCGCGCGCGGCCGCACAGGATGAAGCACCTGAAGACGATGCCGCGCCGCTTCAAGAACGGCTTCCGCAGCGGCACCACGGCCCCCGCGCGCAAGAAGACGGCCGCGAGCTGAGCCAGGCCGGCGGGCCCGCAGGCCGGCGACCGTCGAGGAACAGAGGGCGCCACGAGCCTATGCTTTCGGAGGGTCGCGCGGAAGTCGTGGCTCCGCACTGGCCCCCGGCTTCCTTTGGGCCGTCTTGGGTTTTTTGGGGGGCGTCTTGAGGCCCACTTTGGGCCGTCTTGGGGACCTCTTGGGCCGTCTCGAGCCGTCTTGGGGTGATCTTGGGGGCCTCTTTGGCCGTCGTGGAGCGTTGGCAGCCCGAAAGGACGAGAACGCTGAAATCATGCAAGCACCTATGGAAGCTCAACGTTTTGGGCATCTTGGGGCACTATTGAGGGCCCTCATGGAGCCCTCTTGGGGCGTTTTGGGGTCTCTTGGGCCGTCTTGAGGCCATCTTGGGCCGTCCTGGAGCCCTCTTGAGTCGTCTCGGGACTCTTGGACCATCTTGCAGGCTGCTTGGGAGCCTCTTGGCCCGTCTTGGGGCCCTCTAATTAGCCTCCGGGAAAGTCAAGCGAAAACACGCGGGAAGCACCCCGGACAATCCGTAGATTTGTGGTCTGGCCTTCTCAACATTCAACCCTCAGGGCTGAGGACGGAGGACTCGAGGGAACTGGAAACATTCCGACTCTTGCCTCGCGGCACGGTGGCGGATAAGGAAGAGGGATTGATGACGGTGATGGTGATGATGGTGGTGATGATGATTGTGAAAAGTATAGTTGTGATGGTGATGATGCTGCTGCTGATGATGACGAGGAGGAGGAGGACGATGGTGCTGGCGCTGCTGATGATGATGATGCTGCTGCTGATGATGGTTATGCTGCTGTTGTTGATCATGATGATGATTGTGGTGGTGCTGGTGATGATGATGCTACTGCTGCTGATGATGATGGGTAGGATGAGCAAGTGGAGGATCATCATGGGGAGTACCTGTATGGTAATTCTGATGGTGAGCCTGAAGAGGAGGATGAGGGTCGAGGAGTGTGATGGCAATGGTTGTCACTGTGAAAGACGCGGAGGAGGATTGGGAGTAACTGTAAAAGGAATTTCGAGGGTACGGTGAGAGTGATTATGATGACAATGATGACAACGAAACAAATGTGGAGCTGGTTGAGGAGGATGAACAATATTATGCTTGTGATGAGGAGGAGCAGGAGAAGGAGAAGGAGATGATTATCAGGAAGAGTATTCGGATGACATTGTTTACAATGATGGTGCTGATGAGGAAGATGAGGTGGATGATTTCCGAGACGGGTATGCCAGTGGTAATGTTGATTGTGGTGGTTATCTTTGTGATTGGTTGTGATGAGGATGATGTGGAATCTGATTATGAGGGCTATGATGATGGCGGTGCTCAGGGTGACGATGCTGGAGATGATAATGATGATAAGGACGAGGTTGAGGATGAAGAAGAGGATGAGGATGATGATGATGATGAGGAGGAGGAGGAGGAAGAGCAGGAGCAGTTCGAGGCGGACAGGGCGGAGTATGATGATTCTGGCGATCCGTCTGGTCATGATGGGGCAGAGCATGTGGATGATGATTCGGAGTAACATGAGTTATGATGAGGAGGACGGTGAGCATGATGCGTAAGACTACGACGACGTTTACGATGGTTATTATGACGCTGTGAAGATGCTGTTGAGGAGGTTGGCGATGAGGAGCAGGTAGAGGAACCCCAGGATAAAATGACGATGGTGATTCGATTGATGAGGACAATGCTGAAAACCGCTTGTGGAGGAGGAGGAGGAGGACGCGGGGGAGGGACTGCAGGCAAGAAAGGATGAAGAGGATTATGAGGATGAGTGGAGGGGAGGAGAGGAGAGGAGAGGAGCAGGAGGAAGAGAGGGTGAGCAAGGATGATGATGATGATGATGATGATGATGATGATGATGATGCTGATGCTGATGCTGATGCTGATGCGGCTGATGATGATGATGATGGTGATGGTGATGATGGTGATGATGGATGATGATGATGATGATGATGATGATGAGGATGAGGATGAGGATGAGGATGAGGATGAGGATGAGGATGAGGATGATGATGATGCTGATGATGATGATGATGATGATGATGATGATGCTGATGATGATGAT